CCCCTGTTCCCCCTCCAAGACCTCACACAATGGAGCTGGCATTTGATCGTGGTCAACAAGTTACGGTTCGATGGCCCATTCTGACTCCTCCACCTGCTGCTGGTCCACAATTTGAGTACCACGTCGAGCACAGGCCTCAAGTCCAAAAGCCCAAGCCAAGACTTCCACGTTTCCCAGGCACTGCCACTTCACCTGGGGTCTTCAATGTGAATGGCTTCATGGCACATAATACCTTCTTCAACAGCTCCAAGAACCCTTATACCAAACCGTGCATTTCTTCAGATCGGTTCTGGAGCTATCAGCAGCGCAGCTACTATTCCTGTGTCCTATACATTCAAGGGCGCATATTTCCACATATGCGCCTCGACTCTGAAGCTATGGCTGGTCTGCCCTGCCTCGAAGAAGCATTGGACTGTTTCATAGATGCTGGTCTGCTGCAGTTCATCACCGACAAGGAGCACTGGAATGAAGAACTGTTGCTTCAATTCTATGCCACTCTTCATATTCGAGGCTACAATAGGGATCCGAAGACTTGGGCCCTTGAGTGGATGACAGGCAATGTCCATCATGAAGCTAAAGCTCTTGATATCATTGAGCTCGCAGGCCTGCACACACCTGGTGAATACTATGAACCAGGTTGTCAACAACATCAAGATGCCTTGGAAAGCATCTTTCAAAAGACAGAACCCAACATGAGTCAAATGCTGAGCATGATGAAGCCTTTGCCTCCAGATGCTGAATATCCTAAGGAATTCTTTGTTGAAGACCTAGAGTACCTGCCTCGCACCATCTACCACATCATCAGGAAGACTCTATGGCCTGTCAAAGGACACTCATCTGCAGCAAAGCTTGAAGGAGCAATGAAGACTTTGGTTTTCTATATCTTCAATGGCATCAGCTTCAATGCTCAAGACTTCTTCATCAGGCAGTTGGCTGCGTCTGGCTCTGACATCTTTGGGTTGAAATTCTATGCTCCATGGGCCATGCGTCTGATCAAGTGTCACTCAACAATGAAGTCTGATCAAGTGAAATACCTCGAAATGCGACTTGTACAAAAAAGTCTGGGAGGATGAATCGTATCATGTGATATAAAAAGCCTTAGATTTTTTTGCACACCCTTGTTTCAATGTATTTTGTTCTGAAAATTTACACACTTGTGCATTATGCCTTCATCTATCTTTGTATTTTTTCAGAAATTTTTGCAATGTAAAAGTATGAATTTTCAAAAAAATAAAAAATCAATTTCGCATTTAGAGGCCTCCATGGAGCTCGGCCTCCAAATGCAATTCTCAACTGGCCTATACTACCTGTTGCAAGATTTCTCTTGAATACTTCTGTTTTGTACTGATACATGGTGTATTGATCACGAGTTAATACTCCCTCCATCTTAAAATAAGTGTATCTAGACGCGTAGTGTGTAGATACACTCATTTCAGCGACAATCCACAATTAATTCTGGACGGAGGTTATAGTATTAGGAGATGGGACAACAATCAAGAATGATATTCACAAGTCAAAGGAAACAAATTCTGAAGAGCTAAGCAATCCACAATCACAAATAATATAAAAGGCAAATTGTAAATAACCAAATAATTCACCCTCGAATTCAAATCAATGAACATATCTACAAGACCCCATCTAAACTGATTTACATGAGAGTATGACAAATACCAGTCCCAAATCTCAAACCACAATACACATGACTTCATTTTGGCAGCTCTTCACAGGTTGTTATGCTATGCAATTGGTCGCACCAATTGAAACCCATTAGACCAAACAAAAAACCATGTACTGCCAAACTACCCAACCCTTCCTTACAAACCAATTAGATTCACTATTCACCGCTCTATTAAAGTTCATGATTAATTTCTTTCTATCTTAAAGAAAATTCTAAATAGACCAATGCCGCAACGTGGCCCATCAATGATCTAGTGGTGAGTAAGTCCTGTTAACTTAGACTTGATCACCGAAAGTTAAATAAATAAATAGAATTGCACACTTAGAGTTAAAACACAAATAGGCTTATAATCACAAAAGATTAAAAGAAATGGGCTCATACCCCTTCCTCTCTCCTCTCAGACGAACATGCCACTAGGGTTTCTGCCTCCCATCGGCGCCACCGCTAGTTAGCCTTGTCTCCTGTAGCATTAGGATCATGGGGGCATGGTGGATTGCGACCCTTGCCGGCAGGATGATTCCCTTTTTAGGTGTTCTTTTGAGTCTGGTTAGAGTTTGTGTCATGCTCATAAAAGATAGGACGGCAGTGGCTCCCTGAAGATGGAATAAGTTTCTCCACGCCTACCTCGTACACTGGCGGTGTGTCTAGTGACGTCGAAGGGCATGTGGAAGTGTGTCTCTAGCGGATCTCGCAGGATTCGGTCAGTGGTTGTCTTCGATGAACCTGCTTCTGTAAGTGCATCTAGTGCCACCCCTAGTTGGTTTTGGAGTATTGACGACAAACCTAGTTGAGGGACTAATGTGTTTGTGAGAATTGCAGGATAACACAGGTAGAAGTCCCTCATTGATTCGGTTTTCCTACCAGAGATGACCCCTAAAAATGTATGAAGACATTGAAGTCAAAGGTGGTATGTGAAGACATTCACATTGAAGACTATGACAAGAGAAGACATCGCGTGAAGACTATGGAGCGCGAAGACTTAACAGTTTCGTCGTTTTGTGTTTTTCTTTGTTGAGTCATAGGAACCACCGTACTGTTAAGTGGGGTCCAAGAGAACCAGTCAGAATGACTGAAGTGATGCTTAACCAAAATCCTATGTCTTCGAGTGAAGACTATGAGAGCAAATCTTGTCCTGAGTTGGATAAGTCAGCTTTGCTTGTAGCCCAAGTAAAGTTGCCGTGTGTGTTTGAAATCTGACCGTTGGAACACGTGTCAGTTCCTTAGTGACCCAGGGTCATTTTGGACAAATCAGGTCGGGCTGTCTAGTGGCTATAAATAGCCCACCCCCCTACAACCATAAACTATTGGCTGCTCAGAGTTAGAGTACGGCTTTTGTCGTTTGAGAGCAACCCACCTCGAAGCCTTTGAGAGAGAATTCCTTGCGAGGATAAAGCCCTAAACATCCAGAGCCAAAGAGTGTTAGGCATCACTTAAGTCATCCTATCTGTGTGATATGAAGACTTGTTACACTTGAGGACTGTGAATCCTCCAGCCGGTTAGGCGTCGCTTTTGAGCATCTCCGGTGAACGAAGTCTGTGAAGGTTAGGAAGTCTACCTTGAAGACTTGCCAGAGTGATTGGGCGAGGACTGGGTGTCCTTAGCTCAAGGGGAATAAGGTGAAGACGAGGTCTTCTGAGTTGAATCTCAGCCTTCCTAACCAGACGTACAGTTGTCACAGCAACTGGAACTGGTCCAATAAATCATTGTCTTCGACGAGTAACTGGTTTCATCCTTCCCTTCCCTTTACTTACTGTTGGTCCTTGTAAAGTCATTGTATGACTGCATTATCTTTTGTCTTCACTGAGTGACTGCTTGTTCTGATTGGCTTCACAATATCTTCCTACCTGATCCTTACTGCCTAGCTGCTATTAGTCATTGCACTTTCACTTCATTGAATACTTGACTATGGTTTGCCTAGTGTAGTCTACCTTCCGCTGCATGGTAATAGGTTTATTTCTATCGGTTGTCTTCGAAACTTCCATGTTTTGAAGACTTTTATAAAAATCGCCTATTCACCCCCCCTCTAGTCGATCACTAGCACTTTCAGCTTCGATGTGGTCTTCGTTCGTGTGTGTGTTCGTGTGTCTACATGTTAAATCCCGTCGATCTGTGATTGTGAAGAATGTTATATGGAAACCAACATTCAATGAAAAGTTCGTGAAAACCATATTTTAAAGTTTCAAAAAAAATCTGAAAAAATGTGGGATGTTAAGAAGGTGATGTTTTATTGCTGCACAAAATTTCAAGTTGAAAAACATTATGAGATGTGAGCTATGAAAAACACAAAATCATCTCGACACTATTCAACGCTGATTTTGTGTTTTTCATAGCTCACATCTTGTAATGTTTTTCAACTTGAAATTTTGTGTGGCAATAAAACATCATCCACTTAACATCCCATATTTTTTTTCATTTTTTTTGAAACTTCAAAACATCCTTTTCTAGTGGTTTTCACCGGTTTCCACCGAATGTTGGTTTCTGTATGATATTCTCTATGGTGCGCTGGTCGTGTGGGGCCTTAGGGCGACGACTTCCCGACTGTCTACTAAAACCAAGTTTGCCCGGTGTCAATAAGGAAGAGGCGATGACGGCGACGCGCCTTTGGCTCGTTCGAATGCTTGTAGTTGTCGCTTGGTGATCTACGAATCTGGATTTAATTTATGTCACTTTTCCTATTTTTTATCTGCCTTAATAGTTGATAACAGACTTCCGAGCTGATGATTTTTACGTGAATTAAGTTACAAGTTGTAGTGTCGATAATTGGTTGGAATCTAGGGGTGGGGAGGACCCACCGGTGAAAATCGAAGAGACATATTATTGAGAGATGTGTCCATAGGTTAGTTTGCACTGCAAACATGGAGCGGGATTCTCCGATGCAAACAAAGAAATGGGCCCGGAGGATGGAATCCGTCTCTTCGGTCCAGCGCACATCTCAAATTCTTCTTTTTTGAATTACTCATTTTCTGTAATTTTGCACCACAAACATTTCTAGGAGAAGTTTGAATCTGTTTCATTTGGATATTGATCGGTTTTGGTTCGACATAATTTACGAGTTACTGGTTCCCGGATGAATATGTTTTTCATAATCTGTAGAATATTATCCGTAACTCTGTTATTTTTGCACAGAAGCAAAAAAAAAAAGACTTGGTTACAAGAGGCAGAGTGCGCTTTCACATAGGAGTAATCACGTCTGACTTTCACGAGAGGCCAAACCATTTTGTTGCTTGACATTTGACCTTCCAGGCCAACGCAGCTGCCGAGTTCCGATTCAGCGACGCCAAAGCTCCTTCCTTCATCCACCCCACCGGCGACCAGCCAGGAAATGGCGGAAATGAGCTCCCTGCCGGTCACCGACGACCTCTTGGCGGAGATCTTCCTCCTGCTGCTCACCCCGGCCGACCTCGTCCGCGCCTCCGCGGCCTGCGTCGCCTTCCGCCGGCTCGTCACGGACCGGGCATTCCTCCGGCGCTTCCGCTCCCTCCACGCCCGGCCCTTCCTCGGCTTCCTCAACCACAACGGCTTCCACCCCGCCCGCCCGCCCCACGCCTCCGCGCCCGCCGCCCGCGCCGTCTCCCTCGCCGCGGATTTCTCCTACTCCTTCCTCCCTTCCCACGACAGCTGGATCGTCCGGGACGTCCGCGACGGCCGCGTACTCCTCGACCGCACCCCCGAGGACGACGCTGGCGAGGAATCCCCTGTCTTCACGGAGCTCGCGGTGTGCGACCCTCTCCACCGGCGGTGCCTCCAGCTTCCCCCAATCCCTGACGACCTGGCCGCTTCGGTGGAGCACCCGCTCCGCGTGGAGTTGGAGCGCTGGTGCGAGCCCTTCCTGGCTCCCTCCGGCGAGGAGGAGGCGGAAGAAACGTCATTCAGAGTGATCTGGATGGCGCAGTGCAAAACGAAGCTGGTCGCCTTCGTCTTCTCTTCAAGCACCGGAGAATGGCGAGCCGTTGCGTCTCAGGCCTGGGGCGATTTGTTAGCGGGCACCGGCGTGTCGACGGCGTCGTCCAAGAGCCCTGTGTTCTTCGGCCGACAATACGCTTGTGCTTGCTTCTACTGGGTCATGGACTGGAGGCAGAAATTGCTCATGCTTGACACCAGGAGGATGGAGTTCTCCATTGCCGACCTCCCACCCGGCTGCCGAAGGCCACCGATTGCCATTGTGGATGCAGGGGAAGGCAGACCTGGGATGTTTGCTGTCCGTGAACACGATGCAGATGGCACATTTAACCTCTACTACACCATTAGGCAAAACGAAGGCCAGAGTTTCAACCAGTGGCAGATGGAGAAGACGATCCCATTGGAATCCGGTTACCGGTATTTCCTGAGAGGTGCAACAGAGAGGTACTTGCTACTACTAAGATCAGAAGATGACTCCCCAAGTTCATCATCATTAGAGATGTCAGACTTGGAATGTTTCTCACTGGACGTCAAGACATTGCAGCTTGAGAGCGTCTGCAGGTTGAAGCATCACATCCTACGTGCGCACATATATACCAACTTCCCACCATCGCTGTCGTCACAGACAATATGAAGGGGTAAATACTCTGTTGCATTCTAATTATCTCCTTACCTGCATAGTTATCACATAACTTGTTTGGTGCTTGATAGTTCATTATTGTAGTAGGCAAGTCTTGTTTAAAGGGTTGTGTTTATTTCTCCTCAGCTACTGGGAAAACTAACTTAAATCAGGAGTGATAGTATTTGCTTGCCATCTTGATTATTCAGACAAATAAAGAAAGGGTCTTCCACACCATAGATCATTGAGTAATATCCATCCACCATTCAGAGACCTAGTGGAAGTGCAGAAATCACTAATTCTTTTGTGTGTGACAAATATATGCAAAGATAAAGGGATTGCCTAATCTGGGAAGCAGTAATTGTGTAAATGTACTATACTCAGGTTTGTATCCTTTTATGTATGCGATTGTGTGATGCAACTCGAACAACCATGATAAGAAATATATCTGGGCAGAGCCCCTGAATTTCGGCTCCTGCGAATGTAGGCACACAGCTGAACCTAGCAAACAAACAAAGCTTCATGTCTTCTTCCTTGGATGTGATTGCTTTTCCTTGGTAGATTGTGTGTTGTCTTGGCTCCAACAAGATGACAATAACCAACTACCCCCTAAACGCTCTTACATTTCTTTACGGAGGGAGTATTATGCAGGAGTGTTTTATCGTTAATCTAATATAGAAGGAATATAAGTGGAAACCAGTCAAGCATGACTTATCTTGTCCACTTTTCTTGATAGATATAAGGTCACCGAAGTCCCTTTTTTGGTCATCGTCTCATCTGTAATTTTTCATGATTTTGAAATAAATCAAATTAACTGGTATGGCTGCAACTTAAGAGTCTGAATCTCATCAGAACCAATCAAAGTGGTGAACTGGCAAGAACTTGTGCTACGAAGATATTTAGCCCTCAGTATCAATTAAAGC